AGCGCCGCCAGGGAGATGGTGCTGGTGGCCGAGCAGGGGGTGCTGGGGGGCAGGAACCGCCTGGACCCCACCTGGCACGAGATGCTCAACCACGCCACGCGCAAGGTGCGTCCCGCCGGAGCGGCCGCAGGGGTGTCCCCGGGGGAGGCCTTCATCCACTGGGATGGGGTCATGGGAAGTCTTCATCCACAGGGATGTACCCATGGGAGGTCTTCATCCATAGGGATTTGGTCATGGGAGGACCTTCCCCATAGGGATGGGGTCATGGGAAGTCTTCGTCCATAGGGATGGGGTCATGGGAAGACCTTCCCCATAGGGATGGGGTCATGGGAAGACCTCCCCCATAGGGATGGGGTCATGGGAAGTCTTCATCCATAGAGATGTGGTCATGGGAGGCCTTCATCCATAAGGATGTGGTCATGGGAAGATTTCATCCATGGGGATGTGGTCATGGGAGGCCTTCATCCATAGGGATGTGGTTGTGGGATGGAGGTGGAAGAAGGTTCCAATAGCAGAAGCTCAATAGGTTATGTCCAAGGTGTGGGTCTGGAAGAGCTTCATCCATAAGGATGTGCCCATGGGATGGAGGTTGGAAGGGGTGGAAGGAAGAAGGTTCCAATAGGAGAAGCTCAACAGGTCATGGGCAAGGTGTGGGGCTGGAGGGACTTTATCCATAGGGAGGTAGACCTGGAGATCTTCATCCATAGGGATGTGGTTGTGGGATGGAGGTGGAAAAAGGTTCCAATAGGAGAAGCTCAACCAGGCCGTGTGCAAGGTGTGGGTCTGGAGGGGCTTCATCCATAGGGATGTGCCCATGGGAGGTCTCCATCCATAGGGATGTGGTCATGGGAGGACCTTCCCCATAGGGATGTGGTCGTGGGAAGCCTTCATCCATAGGGATGTGGTTGTGGGGGGGAGGTGGAAGAAGGTTCCAATAGGAGAAGCTCAACAGACTTTATCCATAGGGAGGTAGACCTGGAGATCTTCATCCATAGGGATGTGGTTGTGGGATGGAGGTGGAAAAAGGTTCCAATAGGAGAAGCTCAACCAGGCCGTGTGCAAGGTGTGGGTCTGGAGGGGCTTCATCCATAGGGATGTGCCCATGGGAGGTCTTCATCCGTAGGCATGTGGTTGTAGGATGGAGGTTGGAGGTGCTGGTGCTGGTGGAAGCAGCATCTCAAGGGGTTTTGGTGGCCCCAGGTGCCCTGGGCAAGGTGTGGGTCTGGGGGGGCTTCATCCATGGGGAGGTAGACCTGGAGGTTTTCATCCATTGGGATGTGGACCTGGGAGGACCTTCCTCATAGGGATGTTGTCATGGGAAGCCTTCATCCATAGGGATGTGCCCATGGGAGGTCTTCATCCGTAGGGATGTGGTTGTGGGATGGAGGTGGAAGGGGTGGAAGGAAGAAGGTTCCAATAGGAGCAGCTCAACCAGGCCATGTCCAAGGTGTGGGCTTGGAGGGGCTTCATCCATGGGGAGGTAGACCTGGAGGTGTTCATCCATAGGGATGTGCCCATGGGAGGTCTTCATCCGTAGGCATGTGGTTGTAGGATGGAGGTTGGAGGTGCTGGTGCTGGTGGAAGCAGCATCTCAAGGGGTTTTGGTGGCCCCAGGTGAACGAGGCGGAGGAGGAGCGCGTGAGGAGCGAGCGGGAGCACCAGCGCGTCACCCAACTGTGCCAAGAGGCCGAGGCCAAGGTCCAGACCCTGCAGAAGTCCCTCAAGAAGGTCATCGTGAAGAGCAAACCCTACTTCGAGCTCAAGGCCCAGTTCAACCAGATCCTGGAGGTACTGGGAGGGGGACAAGGTGGTTGTGGGGCACCTTGGGGTGCTCATGGACGTGTGGGAGCTCATTTTGGGGTGGTTCCACCACCTTTTGGGCTGTTTCTACCAGGTTTTGGGCTGAAGCAGAGCAGGAGGGACACAACATGGTCATGGGGTGGTCATGGACACCATGAAGCCCATTTTGGGGTGGTTCCACCACCTTTTGGGCTGTTTCTACCAGGTTTTGGGCTGAAGCAGAGCAGGAGGGACACAACATGGTCATGGGGTGCTCATGGACATGGTGGAGCTCATCTTGGGGTGGTTCCACCACCTTTTGGGCTGCTTCTACCACCTTTTGGAGTCAGGGAGAGCAGGAAGGACACAACGTGGTCATGGGGTGGTCATGGACACCATGAAGCCCATTTTGGGGTGGTTCCACCACCTTTTGAGCTGCTTTCTACCAGCTTCTGGAGTCAGGGAGAGCAGAGGGTCACACCATGGCCATGGGGACACCAGAAGAGCTCAGTGGCCCCTTCTCCTTGGCTTCCTCCCCCTCTCGCAGGAGCACAAGGCCAAGGTGACGGCGCTGGAGCGGGCGGTGGCCCAGGCCAAGACGCGCTACTCGGTGGCCCTGAGGAACCTGGAGGAGATCAGTGAGCAGATCCATGCCCGGCGTCTCCAGCGCCTCGGCTTGGGCCGAGCTCCTCCACTGGGGGCCGAAGCGAGTCCCCAACCGCCTGGCTCCGAGCTGGAGGGCACCCAAGGGACCCAGTTGGGTGCTGAGGGTCCTGCGGGTGACACCTTGTCGGTGCTGAGCCTCCAAACCATCGCCTCGGACCTGCAGAAGTTCGACTCGGTGGAACATCTCCTGAAGCTCTCAG